CCCCCCCCCCCCTTTTTAGAATTCCTAGATCCGCCCCTGCATGTAGCGTACTTTATAGAAATGATTTTCTTAGGAAATGTATCTTTAAATAAAGGGAATGTATCTTTAAATAGTATCTATTAAATAAAGGGAATGTACCTTTAAATTAAGCCACAAGGACTATTGTTATCAAATGCAAATAAAGTGTTGTAAAAAATGCAAAAATCAAACACACTGACGACGTCTATGGATATTTGTATAATGACTATTGATATATCTGTAGACGAAAAACACAAAAATTGGGTATAGCTCTGTCCCTGGTGGGTTGGAAATGGACCAATATACATAGGTAAAATCATGTTATTGAAGTGATGGTCAGGCCGAATTTGAACAAAATATGTACAAAACGTGGGCTGTATTAACAGAGAGAGTGAGAGAGAGAGAGAGAGAGAGAGAGAGAGAGAGTTTAACGTTCATTCGACACAGACCAGGTCATTTCGGGACTAACATATGGTTCAATTTTATTTCAAAATTGGCTTGCGCGTAGTGGTTATTTAGCAGAGGGAGGAAACCGGAGGACCTGGAGAAAACCCACGCGGTTGGACAGTCGACCCTACTCCTTGTCACGTATACAAGAACTGGGACAAAAATCCGAAGTCCAATGTAGCTTATATCATTGGTAGAAAACTATCTTGGCAACATTTCTGTCATGGTGCACTACGTGGCGTATGCTTGTCTTTATTATCCCGGTTGGGGCAGTGAAGTAAGACGTTAAACCCCATTTCATTTTATCTGTAAAAACTGAAGTATCTCTTTACTTAAGATACAAGTATTTCATACCGAATGATTCAGTGTTCTGGTTACATGTTGATTGTATGTAACGTCATTGGCGATACATCACGTGATGGTACAACATATAGTACAATCTTATCTATATTATCTTACAGGCAATACAGATCATATTAATAATATATGTAATAGAAAATGAATATTTCAGTATCAGATTTACGTATAGGCCTGGCAGACTTAAGCCCAAGGCTACAAGATCTGGAGGGGACCTCCGGTCAAGGGTTAGATCTAATTGATAAGGCCAACTTTAAGACACAGAGAGCTATCTACTATGACAATAGACCTCTGCCCGTAATGACCACCATAATCAAACATTAGTATACTACTTTATAATGTGGTTCAAACCGTCTGAAATATTTCATACACACAGCCTACATAAACATCTCAGAATTCTCGAACTATACATAGTGTTTGTTGACTAAAATCGTCAAAAAATGACGGTCAAATAGGTTCGTGTCTGTAGAGAGACAGCGTATCTTTCGTATGATTTCTAATGATGACGCTGGTAAAGATGATATCGATACCCTCGTTATCAGTCGGTGAACATCGTGATGATCAAGTTCTCATATCATTTTATAATAACATTTCTGCACTGAGTATACACTGGCCTGATATTTATAGACACCCCTAAAAATAAAGGATAGGATGACGCTGATGATAAATGTCTCATTTTTTATTCGGAATTGAACGGGGTTGAGGAGAGAGAGAGAGAGAGAGAGAGAGAGAGAGAGAGATTTGAAACCAAGCCAGTTCATCCAATGACATACCTTATGATACAACGCGCACGCTCTAACCATTCCATTGAAACAAAGGTAAAGATAGGTTGCCAGGCAACGAAACATAGGCCCACCAGCTAAATCGTCCGGGCAGTCAACAAGAGTTGTCGCATATTTTTACTTTTGTCGGTAATGAAACTCTTTATTTACTAAACTCGGTTGGCTTACCCTTACACAGAGGATTCTTTTATCTAAATTCCTATTTTATTGAAAAATCTCTTGTTTCCAAAACGGATTTTTCCCCGTTCACAGACCAGTAAATCTCTTTTACTTCAAAAATACAAATCGGAATCCATGAAACGTACTTTTCATTATTCTGCATGTCTTTTATGGAACAATCTGCCTTTTCATATAAAGATGTGTAAAAATGTTGAAAATTTTAAGATTAAACTGAAAAGTCATTTATTTTGCACACTGAAGGAACCATAATATTCAACTGATGACATACTTATTATTTTTAACTTGCAACTGCATTCTATTTTATTTTGTGTGTAATTATAGTGTTCTTCCTATATTTTACTTGTATAATGTATATGTTTTTTTAGTTTGGGAGTTTGGGAGTGACTTATCAAACATCCCAATTTAAATTTTAAATTTAAATGATTTTAAATTTATCCTGATATTTCATGTATATATCGTCGATGGGGAGTCAAAAGGTCGTATCTGGCTTTTTTTTCGAAATTCACTTTCTTACTTCTTCAGAATGAGGATTTTCTTGCGCATCTTTTCATCTTGTTGTCGTATTTCTAAGCCAATAATAAGAGGGTTTATAGATATTGTTTCAAAATGTCGTATATGGGGTGTTCCAAAAAAAAAAAAAATCAAAAAAAATATTAAGAGTGAAAAAGTATTTTTTTTTTAAAAATCAACTTTGTGTCTAACCAAAGTATTACCATCAAACGAAAAGTAGCCAGTATTGTTTTATAGTTAAATATGTATTATAGAAATGAAATGAAATGAAATGAAATGGCGTTTAACGTCCTACTGTTCTGCTCCTATACTGGGCTAATGAAGACGGGCATACGCCATACAGAGTGCTATGAGGGAAATTTTGCCCGGGCAGCTGCACTATCGCCTACTTTTATATCGAATTCCAACTGCCAAGGGATCTTTTACGTGCATTCCAATGTATACACGAGACCTCGGTTTTCCGTTTCATCCGAAGGACTAGACAGCTGTCCTTGTCAGGCCCTCCGTTCTGCACCACTGACAAGGGGAAACCAACGTATTATAGAAATTAATGTTGAGCGTCTACTGTGTGAATTCTATGAAATTGAAGCAGGTAAAGGTGAATATTTTCCTGAGATACGTCTTTGCTGTATAAAATTGAAAATAACTAGCTTTCACTCTTTATTTCTACACTACATGCTGAGCTTGATACGTGCGGATAGTTACATATTGTTTTAATGGCTACACATACACTTTGTACAGAAATATTTAAGAAAAGCTTCAGAAATACGACATTTTACATACGACATTTTGACGTGACGGTTTTATTAGACATTTTGATTCTTAACCTCTGTGTGTTTTTTGGCTCTCTGAAGTATAATATGAAATATAATAATATGAAGTATAAACATACATTATGACGACACATTAATAATGACGTCATTGTAATAATCATATTAAACATACATTATTCAAGAGCTAAATCTGCCTATTGCAGGTCTTTCTTTAAACCTGAAATGTTATTAATGTTATTAATTAGACATTAATTAACTTATCCAGACCATAATCAACTCTCGATGTCATCTCTAGCCTGCGATATTTACTGGATTTGAATCCGATTTGTTGCCAAACGCTCATTGATGATTTAATCCAAAAATGAATAATCTAGACTATGTTTTTGATCGTACCGACTTAAGAGATGATGATCGAGGCTAGACCTAAAATTCAAAAGCTTGTATCTCGGTTCAGAGTGGATCAATTTTCAGCAAATTGTCTATACATTATGTAGTTTTTAACTATTATAGTGAGAACTACCAGCTCTTTATCTAATCTCCCATAATGCCCTTTAATCTATCTTTGCTTTAAAAACCGTTTTATTTCTTGAAGATTCTCTACCACTATAACCTCGTCTACTCATAGTTACGGTTATCCAGTCTCTACCACTATAACCTCGTCTACTCATAGTTACGGTTATCCAGGATCCTCTACCACTATAACCTCGTCTACTCATAGTTACGGTTATCCAGTCTCTACCACTATAACCTCGTCAACTCATAGTTACGGTTATCCAGGAATTTCAGAAAAGCATGTAATTAGTAGATTTTGTTATATCATGTAATTAGTAGTTTTGGGTATATCATGTAATTAGTATATTTGGTGACAGCATGTAATATCAGGTATATCATGTAATTAGTAGATTTTGTTATATCATGTAATTAGTAGATTTTGTTATATCATGTAATTAGTAGATTTGGGTATAACATGTAATTAGTAGATTTGGGTATATCATGTAATTAGTAGATTTGGTGACAGCATGTAATATCAGATGTTCATTAAAGAGTGTAAGGGGGGATGGTTGGCCGAATAGTTAGCACGTGCGCGCTGTATCATAAAGCCTGTCATTGAGTCAACTGGCGTGGTTTCGAATCCCCGGTTGTACGTGACAAGGAGTAAGGTCGCCTGTCCAACCTCGTGGGTTTTCTCCGGGTCCTCCGGTTTCCCCCCACTGCTAAAGACCCCTACGCGCAAGCGAATTATTGAAATAAAATTAAACCATATATTAGTCGAGAAATGACCTAATTTGTGCCGAGTGGACGTAAAACCCCATTTCTCTCTCTCTCTCTGCTTTGTGTATTAATACCCGCCTCGTGCATGACACCCACCACTATTATCTCTATACAGTCATGTTTGAATATTTCATCGATGACGACAGGGGATGTTAGTCAGTGGTCTACCTCTACCTCCTGATTAGTGAGGGGATGTTAGTCAGTGGTCTACCTCTACCTCCTGATTAGTGAGGGGGTGTTAATCAGGGGTCTACCTCTACCTACTGATTAGTGAGGGGATGTTAGTCAGTGGTCTACCTCTACCCACTGATTAGTGAGGGGGTGTTAGTCTGTGGTCTACCTCTACCCACTGATTAGTGAGGGGATGTTAGTCAGTAGTCTACCTCTACCCACTGATTAGTGAGGGGATGTTAGTCAGTGGTCTACCTCTACCCCCTGATTAGTGAGGGGGTGTTAGTCAGTGGTCTACCTCTACCTACTGATTAGTGAGGGGGTGTTAGTCAGTGGTCTACCTCTATCTCCTGATTAGTGAGCCAGCGTCATCCTCACCCAGTCAACGTGTGAGTCACCGTGATTCTCCAGCTGGTATCTGAATTATCAGTAACAATATAAATACAGATCTAGATCTCCAACTCCTATCTGTATTTAACAATAACAATAACAATACAGTTTTATACATCCTATAATTTATTACAGATTAAAATCTTTTTTCCACTTTTCTAAAAGTTCTAAAGTCACAGAACTACCTCCACAGACTATAACCAGAGCATTGGAAACGGTGCCAAGTTTTCCTTCTTCTTGAAGTCTTTGTATAATGTTACTATAAATAGCAGCCAACGTGGCACCACATGCTGGTTCTACTAAATACCTATGGTCATCTGAAACAAGACAACATTTCAAATTTTAACTTTTATGATATTATTCTGTATCGTACTAACCCACAATGTACCCCGCTTTCAATACAATGTATGTTGTGATCCAGAGGGGGGGGGGAGATGGGATTTAACGTCCACTTAGGTTCATTAGCTGTGGGGGGAAACAGGACAACTCGGAAAAAACAGAAGCTTTACTCCTTGTCACTTACACACTCGGAATCGAAACAACGTCACTTGACTCAATGACAGACCTTCTGATCTAAAGTACAGATCTGTTATCACAAGTTTATAAATTTACCTACTATATTATATGAACATTTTAATCCAGCAGGTGTATTTTTGTATTGTCCACTGCGAGCGGTGTTGATAAAAAAAACTCGAATGGACCCAGCTACGTTAATAGATATACGTCTACACATTTTGCCATATAAATAAGCTTTGCCATTAGATAGGGTTACATGGTCTGTAAGTTGTTGGCCATATAACTGTTATGGTCTCTAGACTTAGATTCATTCAAATTAAAAAGAAGCCGATCAAAAAATATCAGGCAAGAGTTGTCAGTGGCTTGTTATGACAATATAGTTACCTGCGAATTTAAGACAGGCATTAACAGCATCTCTATCAGGAACTACAACTGATAATACGGGTGGTTTCTGGATTTTATAATTATCAAATGTTCTTGTACTAACTGTTAATGCTCCTAAACATTTAGCTACACTGAAATATAAACAATAAATAAATGACAGCATGAAATTAATGCGATCTATTACATTACTATTAATTCATTTGATATATCGATATAATACTAGTAATTAATGCGATCTATTACCAGTAATTATTGTCGCCTTTTACTAGTAATTAATGTGATATATTACTAGTAATTAATGCGGTATATTACTAGTAATTAATGCGATATATTACTAGTAATTAATGTGATCTATTACTAGTAATTAATGTGATCTATTACTAGTAATTATTATGATCTATTACTAATAATTATTGCGGTCTATTACTAGTAATTAATGAGATATATTACTAGTAATTAATGCGATCTATTACTAGTGATTTATGCGATCTATTACTAGTTAACCTAATACTATACTGAGCGCCATGGAAAACGCATCACTTTTTTTCCCAAATATTTTATTACTAGGTGGTTTTGTATGTATAATATCATGCAATACTGTGAACTATTGTTTCACACAATGCTCCCAACCGCAAAAAATATCGGCCCGTGTGCACAAAAAAAAATTGCACGAGATGCACATGAAAAACCCAATATTCACGTGCAGCATTATGTGTGTGCCCTTTAAAAGCATGTTTTCAACTTAATGGGCAGTACATGAACTGTGAAACGTCAATCTGTCGTAATTTGTTGTTGGACTTGTGAAGGAATCGACCTAGAGATGCCGAGACTTACTGAAAATCAACGGAATGAAGCCATGGGAATGTCCAGGGCTGGCATGTCTACACGTGCTATTGCCAGACACTTCAATTGTCACCAGTCCACTATTGTAAGGTTGGTGAAACGTGTTCGAGTTACTGGATCAACACGTGACCGTCAACGTCCTGGTCCACAACGCGTTACAACCCAGGCTCAAGACCGCTACATCCGGGTCACTCATCTGCGTGACAGATTCCGCCCAGCGACTCGAACAGGTGCAGCAGTCGTCGGAAGACAAGGACCAGTAAGTGCCGACACCGTAAGACGTCGTCTAAGAGAAGTAGGACTCCGTGCACGACGACCTTATGTTGGAGCTATCCTCAGGGATCATCACCGTCAGCGGCGTTTGATATGGGCTCAAGGACACCAGACATGGAGAAGAGTAGACTGGCAAAGTGTGCTCTTCAGTGATGAGAGTCGCTTTCATCTTTATCACGCTGATGGCCGTCAACGTGTGTGGAGACGTCTTGGGGAACGTCTTGCAGACTGCTGCGTCTTCGAAACGAATCGATGGGGTGGGGGAAGTGTAATGGTGTGGGGAGGCTTCACATTTCATCACCGGACCCCACTACACATTTGCAAGGGTCGCGTTAATGCTGTAGCCTACCGTGATGATGTCTTGCAACCAATTGTTGTTCCGATGTTTCGAGCGCAACCACAACTTCAGCACTTCCAACAGGATAATGCACGTCCGCATACCGCCCGTTTTAGTATGGACTACCTGGCTGCTTACAACATCAATGTCTTGGACTGGCCAGCCATGTCTCCGGACATGGCACCGATAGAACATGTCTGGGATGAGATTGGACGCCGTCTGTATCGGAGACCACATATGCACACCATTGCTGCTTTAGAAGCTGCTCTTGTCCAAGAATGGAACAATTTGCCCCAGGCCTTCTTTCAAACATTGGTAAATTCCATGCGACGTCGCTGCACAGCGTGCGTAAGAGCCCGTGGAGGACACATGCGCTACTGACATCTGTGTAGTACTTTTGGTTTTGACCCCTCTGATTTTGTACCGTTGATTACAGATTAAACATCCATAAGTGTACAAATGTGTTGTTATTGATGTGTTCCCATTTCAATATTGTTCACAATAAGAGGCAAAATAAATAAGATATGTTTACATGATCATTTTGTTATACGAAAAACTAAGTGATGCGTTTTCCATGGCGCTCGGTATATTGGGACTTGCATTTCCTCTACATATTGCAATTTCAAATCCCATTAAAAATCCGAACTATTAAAACGAAATGAAATAAAGATATAATTGCAATCAGATTCTTCAACGTAGATACCATGTGGTTAGGGTCTGAGTTAGATTTGATCCTACTGTTATAGACATAAATCACCGAAAAAAAGATAAACCGTTTATACTGTAATTTCGATCCATGTAGCAATCCATATAAGGAAGTGTTGAATTACCTGGTAATATCCGGTAACGTGACTAATTCATCAGCTTCTATAGATTTATTAAAACAATCAGCACCAATAGTTTCCATGGCAACCACAGGTATATCATCCCAACTTATAGATCTCATACCTTGTAAAATACCATTTAATAATCCCCCACCCCCAACACTGGTTATAACTACATCCGGTTTTACCGGTTTCAGTTGAGACTCGCATTCATAAATCACAGATTCATGGCCTTCCCTGAAAAACAGAAAGATTGTTCGTTTTATTATTCCCTAACCTGAGCATTATTCCCTAAGAGTTTTGTGTAAGCTGAACATTTATTTACAGTAGTGTTTGTGAGCCGGGAGTTTTCAAAAAGTAGCAGAATTGCGCAAAAGGAAAGCGAAAGAAAGAAGGAAAGAAAACAGAGAAACATTGGGGATACTCGATTGAACGTTCCGGAATTAAATTCTCTCAATTCAAAAAATAGTGTCAATCGAAAGAAAAGGAGAATTTCGGAGTACAGCGCATGTGCCGACTGCTTAAAATATATCGCAACCAATCATGACAGCTGAGAAATATTCTACTCACACCACCTCAGGCAGAACTGAGGGACAGGCAGAACTGAGACATGGCTGAATTCCGTATCACTTGATTGCGATTATGTCAATTCCGGAAGTTCCGGACAGACAATCGAGCAACCCCCTAGGTCACTACGGGACTAACACAGGGTTCCTACGAGGTTGGCCAGGCGACAATATTCCTTGTCACGGAATCGAAACCACGCAATAACAGACGTTATGATTTTACACGCACGCGTTAAACCAATAGACAACCCAAACCCCCGCAAAAGGAAGGCTTTATACCTATTAAATTATATAACTGTAAATTGTCTCTACTAGAGTCTGGTTAATTAGGTCTATTAGACTTTGTCATCAGGTATAATAATATATTACCGGAAGTTATCTCTGTAATAGACTGGTTGATTTGGAATATATTTAATATATAGAATATGATAGACTACTTACCACACATCTGGTAAATCAAATGGATGAACATATTCACAACCTGTCAAATAAGTAAAAAATATTTAATAAATATGATTTAAGAACCTTCTATTGGTGGAGATTTCTACTAATACTAAAACATGGCTTGGGAAAACCTGCCTTGGTGACATGTGTAATCAACAGACATGTGTTATCAGAAGACATGTGTAAAAAGTAGACGTGTAAAAAGTAGACAGATGTAATCAGTAGACATGTGTAACCAGTAGATATATGTAACCAGTAGATATGTGTAATCAGTACACGTGTGTAATTAGTAGACATGTGTTATCAGTAGACATGTATAATCAGTAGAATAACCTACCCGGTTGTTTAGCTAATTCTAAAGCATATTGATTTGCGTGATCAAACACCATACCTTTTACAATTACTTCAGCTCCCTGTGAAATAAATTATTGATAGGTTAACGTACAAACAACTACTTCAGCTCCCTGTGAAATAAACTATTGACAGGTTAACGTACAAACAACTACTTCAGCTCCCTGTGAAATAAATTTTTGACAGGTTAACGTACAAACAAAATGAAACAGCCATCTGACACAACCGTTATTTGTTTTACGACTGTATGTTTTAAACAGTCCAATATTTAAACCAAACAGGAGAATAAAACTAGTTCCATTTATGGTCACTCAGTGAGTATGTCCTAAACACCCCAAGTAGAAGGTCTCTAGCCCGGATTCCTCTTGCCAATGATGCAGGACTATAGGACTCTAATCACAGGGATGGAGCGTAAAACCAGACGTCCCGTTTAAACTATTGGCAGAATCGTGAAGATCCAGCCATGTCACTCGAAATGGCGTTGCCCTGTTAGACCTAGGGCGTATCTGAGTTAATGATCGCTGTACGTACACCGGGTACACGAAACGTCAATCAAGCGACTAGAGTATTGTCAGAACACTGTCGTATCTATTGGGTAAGGGGAGATAACTGATCCGACTGTGCTAATCAAGATGACATATGCCATGCAGTGTTCTATGAGGGGAATTTTACCCAGGCAGCGACACTACGACATACTCTTATTCCCGCGATTCTTTAACGTTCACAACTTTGGGTTTTCATCCCACCTGAAGGACTAGATGCCGAAATATAATCCCTAGTAACTTGATTGGCCAAGACAGGAATCGAACCGGAGACCTCCTATAGTCACTGATCCACTGTGGTCCCCCTACAAACAAAATAATTGTGTGATTAATAGACAGCTATACTTACATAATCTCGTAGTTTATGTGCTATAAATTCTGGGGTACTTTCTGGTAGAACAATAGTACACGGTGTTTTAAGTTGTTGTGCTGCATAAGCCGCTGCCATGCCAGCATTCCCCCCAGATGCACACACAAGTCTTTTACATCCCCGTTCATTTACAGCCTAAAATAATTAAAATATTATTTTACTTCAAGTCAGTCGGCCTACTAACAACGTTCATTTACAGCCTATAATATTTAAATAACTATCGAATACCAACTGCCAGGAGATCTTTTACGTACAGGCTATTGTGTAGACGGGACCGCTGTTTTAGTTCCATCCGAACGACTAGACAACTGTCCTTATCATGCCCTCTGTCCCGCCACACAGCCAAAGGACTAGAAAACTGTCTTTGTCAGGCACTCCGTCCTGTGATAATGACTGACACCAATACTGTCCTTTAAGCGCACAAATAACTAAATATCATTATTTACAGCCGATAGGGGATATCGCTCAGTAGAATATAAAAGTTATCATACAAGTGATATCTACTGTAGAATGTGTTATTGGGTGATAAAACGGCTTTATGCGGCGATTGTATCCGTGTCAATCTTTGGATAATTATAGAAACCTTCCATTTACCTTTTTACAGAAATAAGAAATTCCCCGTATTTTGAAGGAACCGGGTGGTTGAAGGTTTTCTAATTTTAAGAAAACTTTAAATCCAGCCAGTTTCGATAACGGTACACTTTCAACAGTCGGCGTTGTTAGGTAATAGTTGACATTTCTTTCATTCACGTCGGTCATTTTAATATGTTGTTGATTTTAAACTGTGAATGAAAACTATGGAAATATGAGTAAATACGATATTAATATAGGGACGATCTCTGTCTAATATCAACAAATATAATATTATTCACCGAAAAAGTCTTCTAATGTCAAGTCCTTTGGATTGGATAGAAAAAGATAATTTGTCATTTAGACGGTAGGGTATATCTGATTCATCGTCACGGGTGCAATGGTTAAGCAAAATAAACACGTGTTTCTGGCAATATGGCAGCAATGGAAGGGAGTGGGTGGGAGGCACCACACGTTTATGGCAATATGGCAGCAAGGGAAGGGAGTGGGTGGGAGGCACCATAAATGGTTTATGTCAATATGGCAGCAAGGGAAGTGGGTGGGTGGGAGGCACCATAAATGGTTTATGTCAATATGGCAGCAAGGGTGGGTGGGTGGGAGGTACCACAGGTTTATGGCAATATGGCAGCAATGGAAGGGAGTGGGTGGAAGACACCACGGGTTATGGCAATATGGCAGCAAGGGAAGTGAGTATGTCGCAGGCACCACAAGTTTATGTTTTTATTGATTTGACTTGTACATAACATAATATAAATAATGTTAAAATAACATCTAATAATTTCATTTTGTATAAGTTATCATCCTTCGTCAAGCACCACGAACTAACTAATGTCTGTCTGTCACCAGGGCTTAACGGGTATATCGCACTGTCTGTCTGTCTCTCACCAGGGCTTAACGTCCGCTTCAACCTAGGGTTATATCGCAGGAAAAAACTATCTAATAATTTAATCCTTTATTAAAGGTTTGTTTCTTTTCGAATGTTTATAATTCTTTTTCAGTTTAGTATAATTTCGTTAATGGTTTTATTTTAATTATCATGTGTCCTTAACCCAACCCAGTTTAATATCACCTACAGCTAAATACAATATAGGATAATGAAATACATGTCCCTTGTAGTCAACGGTTGAGAGAGAGAGAGAGAGAGAGAGGGGGGAGCGAGAGAGAGAGAGAGAGAGAGAGAGAGGGGGGGGGGAGCGAGAGAGAGAGAGAGCAAAGGTCATACAACTTAGGTTAACTAACTGTGTGTTATAGCGGACGTGGTGTCTCTCTCGTCTGTAGTCAGTTATAGCACACATATAACCCTGGTTAACTATGTTGGATAACTAAAGTCTAAATGAAAGTAGAGCGAGAACGATGGAACCCTCTATATATATCTTCTGTAGTCATCCTACCAGTATGTTATATATATATATACCAGATATACGTCACTATACTGTTTATCATACACTGTACAATCTACATTCATCATCTCAAATCTTTTATTAAACCAGTTTCATAGTAAAATTATAAACTCACCTCGATAAAACACGTTGACTCCAACACACCTATTGATATAACACCACTGCTGATTGGCTCTTCATTTTGATCTATCTAATAGATTGCTACATCACAAAAACACGTCTAAAATCGTTCAGCTCCATCGACCACTTAGTAACCTAGTTATAAGTTGTATGGTGTACCATATCCGACAAAATATTCGAATAGTATACTAATACTCATTTACATTTTGACAGATATATGGATAACTAAAACTATATATCAATTATATAAGATATATATATTATGTTGTTTGTATGTAAGTAAAAATAACCTTGATAGAAGTAAGAATATAGGTGACTGTATGGATAACTTCCCCTACCTTGTATTGTATCTATAAGTAATGAGAGGGTTTGGTGGTTGTGTATGAGACAGGGAGTGTGGAACACCAGATACCACTCCTGGTTGTGTTTATACAATATCTATTTGATTTAATGATTTATAACGAGTCATATCTTTAGATAGTATTTACCTTCATATCGTGGATTATCTACCTCTCTTGATTCACGATATATAAGTCAAAATATAAACGTCTTTAAACGACACCCTGCATGACGTATACCCGTCTTCATTAGCCTCGTTTCTGTTCTGTGCTGGATCGCAGTAGAGGTGTGGGTCAGTTGGATGACTTTAACAATGGGAGGAAACCGGAGGACCGGGAGAAAAACTCACGAGGTTGGACAGGCGACCTTATACTTCTTGTCACGTAGAGGTGGAGAATCGAAACCACACCACTTGACTCAATGACAGACCATCTGATTTAACATGTACGCGTTTGCCATTCGGCCACCCAATCCCCCAAATAACGATGAACTCTTTCGTCTAGCCGGATGTGGACATGTGCTTGACATAGTATATAGTGGATGTGGGCGTGACCTGCCCCTGTTTTTGTGCGCCGTAGGCAATCGCCGTGTTTGTTCTAGATACAAGTATAGCGATTGTTTAGGGCGTTAACTTTTTTTTTATTTAATTATTTCTGTAGTGTTTTTAATCGGAGTTCAGCTTTAAATCGGTATTCAAAGGCTGTATTTTACATATGCTTGCATTCGCCAAAAAGCATGATTTTTAATTGATAGAATAAGTTCCACTTCCAAAAATCATGAATTTCTAACATCGCATACAAGTTATGTCCCATTCAGATCCCTGTTTATAAAATATTAGTTGTCACATATTCAGGGGCGCAGATCGCCAAAAATTAGTGGTGGAGACAGTCCATGCGCGGGCGACTATTGGTAAAGAGGGGGGTGGGGGGAGGGGGTCCTCCCCCGAAATATTTTGAAAACTAGACGCTCTAAAACGCACTCTGTGAGTATTTTCAGCATCATTTTCTGGCAAACAATTCTAATCCCTGAGGCAGCAAATGATACGAAATCTAATCTAAAGACAAATGTTCAATTCACCGTTCACGATTTATTCTCTCATGTACACTACAAGAACTAGAAATATTTACACTACTGAGATTCCAGCTTCGCCTCCATTCCCACAAGTGTTCGATCCTAATAATAATTTAAAGAATATTTTCTTTAGAAATTTATAAGTGTTCATACTATATAACCGAACGCCGGTGGCGTGAGTTGCTAGAGGTGGGGGGGGGGGGGGGGTTACAATTTTTGAATTTTTGTTACAAAATGGTGTCTAAATATGCATTCTCAGCGATTCTAAGGAGTTTTTACCAATAACAAAATAGTTCAGAGAGCAATTTTTTAATCGAAAAAAAACCCCATTCTATAAAGTGTTTAGTATATTTAAAACTAAAGAGCAGTACACTTATATCCACTCTGCCCGTTTCTTTTCCCTTTGTCTTCTTTCTGGACGGCCCGTGACAGGTTTTAAAAAATGTCTTTTCCGATAAATTTCCTAAATTTCTAAACCATCTACAAAACAGCAAAAAAAAATTTCACTTACATGTAATAATAAGTACACGATTCTTGGCTCAGCTTCCTGTACTCCAAAAAATAGAGGGGGTTCGAGTCTTAAATTTTAGATTTAATTGCCTTTATTGGTGGGGACGCGTCCCGGTGTCCCCACCGGGATCTGCGCCCATGCACATATTTGTCATTACTAGAAAAATATTTGTCGAAATATTATATCGTAACGCATGAAAATAGCATTACTATAATTTATAATAAAGTTAAACTGGGCAAATCATTCAGTGTTGTTTATCAATCTACCTACCATTTGATAAATTTATAGAAAGATGCATGTTGCATTAAGTTTTACCGATTAAAACACAATAGGTAACACAAGAAATTAATTGTAAATCACTGGTGGCATGCTTCGTTCAGTTGTCATCATCATATATTATTAAATTTATATACGAACTAAGACAAGAACATGTTGTAATCAATACTATTGCCCACTTCAAATATAAATATGTATATATGAGAATGAGTTATTATAAATAAATCACGCCTTGCTTCTCGCAGTAGTATAAATATTGTCTGAAATCTACAACGAAATGTCATCACAATATCAAATTTTTACAAATGAATTTAACGCATGAAAGTTCCTTATACACGATTATGGCACTACAACATCAAAGCTCGGCGACATTGTTTTTGTTTCAATCTTAATCCCCTAACATTTAAAAATCGCCATTACGTCCTGCTACTACATTGTGCACTCGGGTTAATCTAACTTAACTTTAAGGTACCTCCCATAGGGGGTTGGTTGGCCGAATGGGTAGCACGCGCGCGCTGTATCATACGGTCTGTCATTGAGTCAACTGTCGGGGTTTCGATTCCCCGGTTGTACGTGACAAGGAGTAGGGTTGCCTGTCCAACCTTGTGGGTTTTCTCCGGATCCTCCGGTTTCCTCCCACTGCTAAAGACCCCTACGGGCAAGCCAATTATTGAAATAAAAACTGAACCATGTTTGTGTTGAGTGTACGTTAAAAACCATTTCTCCCTCCCACCTCCCATAGGTCACATACGGATTCTGGATTTCCTGGTTAGCGAGCCACTTTCTAAAGCCTAACTCATAACCTGCCGTAAGTGTTTTGACACGTAGAGTTTGGTAGCTCGCAGACACGCCGCCAGAAACCGGCTGTAAATTATAGAGGTGCCGGACCAAAGTCTCTACGGCCGGTCTGCGATCTTCTACGGTGACTAACACACGCAACTGACGGCATGTCTCACTTAAGTTTTTACTAAAACTAGGCCAGTAGGGGTTCGTACGGCGGCTTCTGAGCTAGGCTTTACTCACTGATTCCTCCCACTGTTAAAGACCCTACAGCACAAACAAATTATTGAAATATATTTAAACCATATGTTAGTCCCGAAATGATCTAGGTTGTGTCGAGTGGACGCTAAACCCCATTTTTCTTTCTCTCACCCTTATGGTATAAAGAATAAGCATGCCAAGTTCCAAGATGATGCATTCAGAATTGCTGGCTGTAGACGATAAACACAAAAAAGGCGCGTGGCTCTGTCTCTGGGGTAGGGTGGACATGGTCCAATATAAATGTAATAAAATGGGGTATAACGTCCTACTGTTCTGCTCCTACTTGGAAAATGAAGACGGCCATATGTGCTATGAGGGAAATTTTGTCCGGACAGCAGCGCTATGGACTGCTCTTATCTTCACCTGTCAAGGGTTCTTTTACGTACACGCCAATGTGTACACGGGAACTCGGGTTTTCGTCCCATCCAAATGACTATACGTTGTTCCACCCACCCTACATCACTGATAAGTGGGAACCATACTGGAAAACCCGATAAACGCAGCGAGCCAACGTCCTACTCACTGAGCCATCGTGACTTACTGGACTAATATAAATAGATGACATCCTGTTGAAATGAAGGATCATGATGAATTTGAACACAATCTGTTAATAATTACAACCTACAGATTATAGGATTGGACATGCACCAAAATGAAATGAAATGGGGTTTAACGTCCTACGTTCTGCTCCTAACTGGGCATACGTCATACAGTGTGCTACGGGGGAAATTTTGCCCGGACAGCGGCACTACGGCCTACTCTTATATCGAATTCCAACTTTCAAGGGATCTTTTACGTGCACGCCAATGTGTACACGGGACCTCGTTTTTTCGTCCCATCCGAACGACTAGACAGATGTCCTTGTCAGGCCCTCCGTCCTGCATCACTGAAAAGGGGGAACCACGCCGGAAAATCTGGATGAACTTTCTCGGCCAATGCAGGGATCGAACACCCGACCTCCAGGCTAGCGAGCCAGCGTCTCACCCACTTAGCCACTGTGTGACCCCCGCATTCACCACAAAAAAGGTCATCCCTAGGGTATAATGAATACGTATGCAAACATTCAAGACGACCCGTTAAGAATGGCGACCTGTAGGCGAAACACACCCACCTATAGACAGGAACACATCCCACCTACAGATAGACTCACACACCCACCTATAGACAGACACCCCCCCCCCCCCTATAGATAGACACACACCTCCATCTATAGACAGACACACCCACACCTACAGATAGACACTCCCACCACGTACAGACACACACACCCCACCTAGAGATAGATACACACCTCCACCTACAGACCAACACCCACCTACAGACAGACCCTCCCACCTACAGACAGACACACACCTCCACCTACAGATAGGGGCGACCCCATAATTATTTTCACGTTATGAATGTAGACGTATAAAAATAAACACGAATTGTTGTAAATAGTATTATTCATTACAAATAAATATATACAAATAAAATATTGAAGACATTTTAAATAAATTAAAGAATAGTATTAGTCCTGTAGATAAAGTACAAATACGTCATCAGTAGTTTTAACTGTTGACTACAGACAGTGTAATACGTCATCAGTAGTTTTAACTGTTGACAAGAGACCGTATAATACGTCATCAGTAGTTTTAACTGTTGACAAGAGACAGTGTAATACGTCATCAGTAGTTTTAACTGTTGACTACAGACAGTATAATACGTCATCAGTAGTTTTAACTGTTGACAAGCGACAATAAAACTGTAAATTGTATGACTAGAGACAATAACATTATGTTGACTAGTTTACATGAATTATTATAACTTGTTTATTTTATTCTAATTTCATTTGATCTGTGATATATTTAACGTCTAAAGAAAGACTTGAGATGGGATAGTTTAGGTTTAGTTGATTTAGCTTTAATATACTTTATCTTTTCATCTTGTTCAGTGTCTGATTTCCTACAATAATCTAGAGGTGTTTTACCATCTTTATTCTTGACATGTAGATCTAGATGTAAACAATCAACTAGATATTGTACTGTAGATAAAGTACCGTCTAGACATGCCAGGTGTAAGATGGTATTATTATAACAGTCTCTGGCGTTAATATCAGCCTGATGACTGACTAGATATTGCATTTTATCTACAGGACTTACACTTGACATACAACAGGTAAATAACGGTGTCTGGTTGTATTCACCTGTTGTATTAACATTCATGTGTAAATCATCAACAAGATATTGTACTGTAGATAAAGTACCACTGTTACATGCCAGGTGTAAGATGGTTTTATTATTACTGTCTCTAACGTTAATATCAGCCTGATGACTGACTAGATATTGTATTTTATCTACAGGACTTACACTTGATCTACAACAGTCAAATAACGGTGTACGATTGTATTCACTTGTTGCATGAACATTCATGAGAAAATCATCAACAAGATATTGTACTGTAGATAAAGTACCACGCCAACATGTCCAGTGTAAGATGGTATCATTATAACTGTCTCTAGCGTTAATATCAGCCTGATGACTGACTAGATATTGTATTTTATCTACAGGACTTACACTTGACATACAACAGTAAAATAACGGTGTACTGTTGTAACGACCTGTTGTATGAACATTCATGAGAAAATCATCAACAAGATATTGTACTGTAGATAAAGTACCACGCCAACATGCCAGGTGTAAGATGGTATTATTATAACAGTCTCTGGCGTTAATATCAGCCTGATGACTGACTAGATATTGTATTTTATCTACAGGACTTACACGTGATGAACAACAGTAAAATAACGGTGTACGCTTGTCATAACCTGTTGTATTAACATCCATGTGTAAATCATCAACAAGATATTGTACTGTAGATAAAGTACCACGCCAACATGCCTCGTGTAAGATGGTATTATTATCAATGTCTCTAGCGTTAATATCAGCCTGATGACTGACTAGATATTTTATTTTATCTACAGGACTTACACTTGATTCACAACATTTAAATAACGGTGTCTGGTCCCACTTGTCTCTGACGTTAACATCTATGTTCACCATGTTTTTTATATCATCCAAAGTACCATCGAGACAGGCTTTGAATAATTGTTGTTGTTGTTGTTGACGTGTATCTGTAATATACTATTCAAAAAAAGTAGGGGATATTTGATTTTTAAGTGTTATTAAAGTCACCTAATGAAACCGACGAAGAAACAAATGACAAAATGAAATGAAGTTCACATTCATCGATTTATTCCAAATGATCGTTAGACTAAGTAAGGCACAGACTGACCATTATAAGGGTAAAATGATACCCGGGGTCAAACAGCAAAGTTACCACAGCATCACAACCAAGTCAGTAACGGGTAAATCCTCCTCTGTTTGCCAAACAAGCATTGATCCGACGTGGCATACTCCTAATGAGACGTCTAAGGTCATTTTGGTCCAGATTGTTCCATTCCTGTTGCAACGCAGCAGCAAGTTCTTGGACATTGGCAGGACGTTGTTGACGTTGACGTTGGGGTAGAGGTCGGGACTCAGTGCTGGCCAAGGTAATGTGGTGATGTTCTGTTGTTGGAGGTCACCTGTAACGATCCTGGCCCTGTGACATCTTGCGTTGTCATCCTGGAAGATGAAACGGCGGCCATGACGTCGTGCGAACGGCACAACATGGACTGCCAAGATGTTGTCCCGGTAGTACTGGCCTGTAACACGCCCTGCAACAACATGTAAAGCCGTTCTTCCAGCAACAGTGATGCCTCCCCACACCATAACAGAACCACCCCCAAATCGATCATGTCTGATGACGTTAACGTCTTGGAAGCGCTCGTTTCGACGACGCCACACCCTCCTACGTCTGTCCAAAAAATCAACAGTGAACCTTGACTCATCTGAAAACATCACATTGCTCCAGCGTCGATTATCCCAGTGTTGACGATCCCTACACCAACGACGTCTTGCCTGAATGTGATGATCTCTCAAACAAGGGATCACGCGAGGACGTCGGGCGCGAAGGTGACCCCTATGCAGTCGATTCCGAATCGTCTGGCCACTCACTCTCACACCAGTGTCTGTTTGAAGACGAGCGCTGATCTGATTTGCTGTGATGACACGATTTCTCAAGGCCAAGGTACGGATAAATCGATCCTGGGCTTGAGTTGTCGCCCTTGGTCGACCTGAGCGTGGTCTGTCCTGTACAGATTGTGTATCATGGTATCTGGACCATAGCCTGCTTATGACAGACTGAGAAACATTCATCGTCCGCGCCACAACCGCCTGTGTTGTGCCGATCTGTAGCATGCCAAGGGCACGTAACCTTTCATTTTGGGTAAGCCGACGCATATCAAAATTTGTTTTCTGGTCACTAAAACAATTAAACTGATGTTTCCACCCTGGAATTCAATGCCACAATGACTGTAACATTCAAAGTCAGAGTCGTGCAAATCTTGGGTTGGACCCCCATGATGATCCCAAGCATCACCTGCATTCCATGCGGTAGCTATTGGTGCGTTTGGGCGTCACATGTAACTGGAAATGTTTCTTCTGTTAGGTTCTATAGTGACTTTTTTCGTAGTCATTTGCATATTTTAGTATTATGCCCCCAAAATCAAATATCCCCTACTTTTTTTGAATAGTATATATAACATGTTATACTATATTTACAGTTTATCAAGTCATATTTAATATTGTTTCAGGTAAGTCAGTCGTTGTTGGATATTATATTATATATTAGAATAACTTACCTTCTTCATCTGAGGTATCACTTGTATTACCAGACAAAGTTCCAGGTAATAATTGTGGTTGAATGGTATCTGTAATATATAAGTCATATTTAATATTTTTCATCTAACTAGAATAACGATAAAGTTTATTATACGTCTTCTGACTTCAATGACGATAGGTATTTGACGTAATAACTTGTGACGATATGTATATGACGTGTGACGATATGTATATGACGTATAACTTGTGACGATGTGTGTATAACGTAATAATATCAACCTACCTTCCTCATTTAAGGTAAGAGTTTTAATACATGTCTCCAACTTATCAATTCTCTTCTTTGTCAGGGCTTTTTTCTATTCAGTATTTTTTTTGTATGTTTCTAGTTTTTCGATTTTCTTCAACATCTGTTTAGAATCTCCATCTTTGCTTTCCACCTGTTTCTTCAGGTTCTCTAATTCCTGCTTAGTAAGTTCGTGATCTTTATGTAAGTCTTCTAGCTGATGTCTTGTCTTGTCTTGTTCTGTCATCAGATTGGTTTTATTTTTACCTGTATGATAAAATTATTTACAATTCAATACTATCACCTGTATGATATAATATAATACACAATTACACAAGACAAACCCACGGACAGGACAAAATATACACAGACAAATGAAATGAGGTTTAACGGCCTACTACTGTGCTCCTACAGGGGTAATACTAATGGAGACGATATACGCCATACCCTGCGCTATGCGCGAATTTATGCCAGGACAGTGGCGTTAAGGCCTACTCTTATATCAAATTCCAACTGCAAGGGGATCGTTTACGTTCAGGCCAATGTGTACACAGGGCATCCAAACAATTGTACATTTCCTGTTGCCAGCAGCCAGGGCCCATGCCCTCCGTCCTACATCAAGGACCAAACATGGGTTCTCCGTGTCATACTCACTGAGCCACCGTGGCTCCAATATACATTTCAAATAAAAAGACGTGAATGGACCTGGGTGCTAGCTATAAGCGTCTACTACGTTGTAGGCCTAGATCCGGGGCTGTAGTGATATAGGCTTCACTCAAAATCAAACTAAGAATAATAGAAACAATCCAAGAAAAAAGGGAATATTGTAGAAACGTTGTATCATACTGGTGTCAGTGATGATCGGCCATGTGCTACAAGAAATCTCATTGTCAGCATATTGAGCAAGAAACGGTACTGAATTAAAATACATGGAAGCCATCGAACACAAGCAGCCAGTCTTGACGGCGGTCGTCTGCTAAATGACGTTACACAAAGGTGGTCATCTGCCAAGTGACGTCATAAGTTAGACTGTAAATAGCGCCAACAATAATAAGGGAGATAATCCAGTTATAGTAAGATGATTATGGAGGCAGACCACCATTAAGGTTATAGCAACTCTCTATCTCTCTCTCTCTCTCTCTCGCTCACTCTCTCATGCCCACTTTTGATGGACGAATAGGGTTTGAATTAACATTATTAGCTGGCCAAAGAGACCAGAATTAACATTGAAGTTAATGGAGAAATTAATGGTGGTCTGTATCCTAGTATCGTTCATAGAATCGACCTTTCTTATTTAGTTATCATCACATACAGTATATTACGTACCTATTGGGGAGTCAACATTTATCACCCTATATTACATTCTACAGTAGATATCACTTGTGTGATAACTTTCATATTCTAGTGAGCGATATCTCGGAGATATCCCTTTACATGAAGAAAGCTACATCAAACACTTATATATTTAGTTATTTTTTGTGGGTGTAAAAAAGGGTTGGGTGGTAAATAAAATCTTCTACTCGCCATTTTGATATAAAAAAATATCAACACTCGTCGATAGATACTGTTTACACTTTATTTACATTATTGATTTGTTTCTACAAAGTGAAACCATAACTCTAGAATTAACGGAAATTTTTGAATTTAAGTTGGCTATACGTCACACTAATGTCAATATCAATTTGAAAAACTATCAGATAATAAATATAGTCTGTAGAGTGTTTACAAGAAATTGTCGACAACGGACGGACGCGACAGAAATATACGACCAAAATTCCATGTGTGTGTATAGAAAGGGTAGTAATTAACGATCTTTAATCATGGAAGTAATAAGATTCATTTCTCACAAAAATCGGATTCATTTAAACAAATAAAAACAGAATCGGTACGTTTGTATTTTTATATTTTTATAAGTTGTGAATGTTTATATATATATAGTGTGTTGTTCTTGTTTAAAATAGAAATAAACTTACCATGCGTGGTGTTTTCTAATACATTTACGATTTCTCTGTAACCTAGTTCTCGTAAACATTGGATGAATTTACCATAGGCATCACCACAGTTTAAAACATACATCAGTAGCTTGTCGGCAGCTTCTGATCGACCTTGTTCAGCGTTCATGTAAACTTTCTTAATTCCATCCTTTTCGTCTGCGTCGAATACGTTTTTTTCAAATAATTTATTACCAAGCCTTACTGGTTCCTTGATATGATCAACCAGGTAGCAGAAATTGACTTGGATTTTGCTATAGTGGTCTTCAGGCATTCGACCTTTCTGTTTTACTGAAATAATTTATTACACATCATTAAAATAAAATGTCAATAACGTTTCATGTTTTGATGTCGCGTCTCGTGTTCTAATGATTTAAGCATGGTTAAATGGACAATAAACCTCCTCTAAATACCAAACAATAAGTGGTCATCTCGTAAGCAACGTTTCATCTTTTAAGTTTATATCAAATCAACACGTTCATTGTGTATGTTGTTCTAAATTAACATCTGATATATTTTATATGTAAACTGTTCAGATCACGTGAGTTTATTGACCAATCAAATTGTGTTTGATTATATCTGGCCTGAAGTTAAAGAACAAGAGACATTTAACCAGCCGAGAGAAAATATTATTGTGAATCTAAGAGTAAAGTATTTATTAATATCATATCAATCCACTTACCTTGGTACTTCGACATCTTGATTATAGATTTGTATTATTTTTATAATGGACAGAGATAGGTATCTTACTTCACCTGGTCTTTTATCTTAAAAACAAGAAACATTGAATAAAATGTAATTAAAATTAGATTCCGATTAAAATACTTGGTTTTAAACACACATATCGGGCGTGGGAAGTTATTTAGTATAATTGAGAAATGAAATGAAATGGGGTTTAACATCCTTCTGTTCTGCTCCGACTAGGATAATGACAATAGGCATATACCATACAGTGTGCTATGACTACAATGAGGAAAATTTGCCAGCGCAGCGGCCCTATGACCTACTCTTATTTTGAAGTCAAACTGTCAAGTGTTCTTTTACGTGCACGCTAATGTGTAAAAGATCCCTTGTTTGGAATTCTATATAAGAGTAGGTCGTAGAGGCCGCCTTCATTAGCCAAGTCGTATCAAACATTAGGACGTTAATCCCCATTTCATTTCATTTCGTCGCCATGTTTTTTTGTTAACAGACACTTGTACAATCGGCATACCTCGGTTATTTTGTCGGAAGATACCGGCATATCTCGGTTATTTTGATACTTCCATTTGAACTCGGCTGCACACCTTTCAAACGCGTTGTCTTTAAAGAAATTTGCGACAATGTAAAATCTCCAAACGACGCCTTTTAAAGAACTTTTATTATTAAGCGATAAGTTTTACTAATAAGTAAACCTACGACCGTACCACAATGTCAGGCGAAGAGCGGAGATGCATATCAAGTTACGTCGTACAGGCGAGCTTCATGACATGATGAACATTATAGAATCAGCCGAGATTTGCCGATTGGTGCCTAAGGAAAACAGAAATTGTTTTTCAAAAAACAAAATTATAAATAAAAGTTTAAAATTATAAATGAATCTTACGATATTGGAATTTCAAAATAAATTTTAATTCATAAAAATAAAATTAATTTATAAAAATAAAATTAATTTATAAAAATAAAATTAATTTATAAAAATAAAATTAATTTATAAAAAATAAAATTAATAAAAATTTATAAAAATAAAATTAATTTATAAAAATTAATATATAAAAATCAATTAATCAATTTATAAAAATAAAAATCAATTTATAAAAATAAAAATCAATTTATAAAAATAAAAATCAATTTATAAAAATAAAAATCAATTTATAAAAATAAAAATCAATTTATAAAAATAAAAATCAATTTATAAAAATAAAAATCAATTTATAAAAATAAAAATCAATTTATAAAAATAAAAAATAATTTACTAAACTAAAATTTTTTTCTACAAAATTCACGATTAAAAACGGAAACAATAAATTATTTTTGAAAGTTAAAAATCAAAAGTACAAATAGATAATCGAAAAAAACAAAAGATAATTAGTATCTGAGGTTCGGTATTATTGTAAAATATTCCCTTCTATAAAAGATAAAAAATAAGTATATACAATAATATCATATCTACCTTAATTGTTCTTGTATTTGAAGCAAACCTCAGCTTTAGATGGCTAGCTGTTTAACATCTGCTGTCTGGATAATTTCTGACGCTCGCCGCTTGGTCTACCTCTAGATATATGTGTGTGTGTTTACGTCACCCCTAGTAACATTTAAAAAATTCATTTTAATAATAAAATATAAGGAGTGATTTAAACTCTGTCCTGTATGATTGGTAGATAATGACTAATGCTACTATAAATATCTCTAATGAACTAGGGGGATTGGAAGGCTGAATGAATAATAAGGTTTGTCATTGAGTCAACTGGCGTGGTTTCGATTGCCCGTACGTGACAAGGAGTGGGATCGACTGTCCATCCTCGTCGGTTTTCTTCGGGTGCTTTGGTTTGCTCCCACGTGTATTATTGAAATAAAATTGAACCATGTGTTTGTCCCTATCTCTCTCACTCTTATGATGTCTTATTTTCATTTTTATCATCTTAGCGCATTTGCATGGGGTCTTTCATGTGGGAGGAACACGAAGTACCCGAAGTAAACCCACAAGGTTGAGAAGGCGCCCCTATCTCCAAGCCACCCACATACGTTCACGCCATAGATCGAAACGAATTTTAAATGAATAATATATTCACGTCATATTTATCTGAACAAATATATATATAAATTATTTACAGTTACTTGTTGTTGTATAAGTAGGTCTGACACATTAATGTTAGTGTAATAAGTAGACTTGGTGTTAATAACAATATCACATCATATAAAACACAGTTAAACAGAGTGCAACAGCACGAGTAGAACAGCCGGCTTCTTATTCTCTGTTAATACATCCAATACAACTCAGAACAGCCTGCGTATTGGTCTCTATCATCACATCATTTTTCTCCATTGATACATACGATAAAACATAGTTGAAAAGATAAAGAGAGAGAGAGAGAGAGAGAGAGAGAGAGAGAGAGGGGGAGAGAGAGAGAGTAGAAAAGTCTGGGTTTTCTTATTCGTGGTGTAATACCAATGGCGGTCACTCCGTTATCAATAACAATGGCGGTCATCTTTATCAAACACAATGACGATCACCGTTAGAGGGCACCTGCCTAACACTCTCATTTTGGGATATACTGTGAAAGCTAAAGAGAGACAAAATAATAATTCCATGTTGACATGATTTGACTGAACAGTTACACCTGAAATGTTCAAATTAAATTTTATGCTGGTATGTTTAGTATCAGTATATCCGTCGTGTAATACTTTAAGACGGAGTCAGACTGGAGGTTTTCAAATAGTTGATCAAATACGTTAACGGTTGTCAACTAGTTTAGCCAATGGGTGTTAAAATGTCCCATCATGTGCCCGTTTTATGTGTCAGTCTGGTGCAAAAAGTAAGACGTTTGATTTTATTTAATTTCTTGGCGAGAGTGTTAATGTCACTTTAACAAGTTCACTTCGTACAAGGGCCTTTACACTGATAACTCTATTCGAGGGCCTTTAACGCGGTCACTCTGTGCGAATCCCTTTAACGTGATAACTCTACGAGGGCCCGTTAACGTGACCACTCTGTACGGGGGCCTTTAACATGATAACTGTGTTCGAGGGCCTTGAAGGGGACCACTCCGTACGAATATCCTTAACGTGATTACTCTCTACAAGGAGCTTGAACGTAATCATTATGTTCGATAGTCTTTGGCGTGATCACTCTGCCCTAAGACATTTAACGTAGTCACTCTGTACGATGGGCCTTTAACGTTATCACTATGTGAGGACCTTTAACTTGATCGATCACCTTGTACAAGGACCTTTAACGTAATCAATTTCGGTGGCTTTAAACTAATCAATCTGTACGGGGGTCTTTAACGTAATCAATCACTTTGTAACACGGTTAAAAATATACTGTAGAAACAACTTTCTGGTTTTATCAGCCACAATACAAGAAAGAACACCCAGATCGACAGTACTGCTGACTTGTTTTAGACTTTACTTCATTGGTTGTGAAACTAGATTCCAATTAAATCACTTGTTTTAGACTTTTATTCAGTGTTTGTGAAACTAGATTCCAATTAAATCACCACCGCTAGAAAAGTATATGAAATACAAGAGTATTGCTAACGTTGTGTGTATTGTAATTTACATGTATATACATGAATACAAGGGTTATTGATAACGGCGTGTGTTTTGTATTTTATATACAACTAGAGTTTACACAATTAATTGACCTGGGGCCATTTTTGATTTGATTGATCTGGTACATTGATTTTTCGACATATTTTTGTCTCCATGCCTTTCATCGGTCTCTGATGTCATGTAGGCACGCTTAAGGCGGTGTATAGTCAACTTAATCATGCATTATGCAAATAGCTAATTCTGCCTAATTCAGGTCTTTCTTAATGTCATCGTCTTCCAGCGATATTTAGTGGATTTGAATACACTTTCTGATGGATAATTGAACGTAACAATGGATAATGGAGACTTTGTTTATTATCGTACCAACGTTATTAATGACGATTGACTCTAGTCTAAAACTGAGTCGCTAATATCTGATTTCAGAGTGAAGCATTATCTATTTTTCAATTATTATAGCAAGAACTGCCAGCTCTTTATCTAAACAAGAAGGCAAGAGTTTTATAGCAAAAACTGTCAGCTCTTTAACGATGTGTAGACCGTTCATTTTGCTACTGACCGTTCATAACACATCTATCTGAAATATTGATATTGAAATATTTGCTTCAGCCCGGAATTTATTTTCAGATTTATAGCCCCGTCAGACCGCGGTGGCGTATTTACTGCACTGCTACGACCGTACGGCGACCAGACAATACACAAGGTCACCAACAAACATGAATACAACGAGCGAAAAGGTTTTGAAAAATTATAAACTTCTCAAAGTTTTCCAGGTCAGATCGCAAAACCTTGGCATTTACTTTGAACATACTCAAAAAACAAACGCCGTGACTCGGTGATCATTGG